GGGCATTGACTTGGACGAACTCTGAGATACTCGGTTCGTGTCTCTCACAGTTGGTATGTTTCTTTTACTGTTTTTTTCCCGAGTTAGAGCGAAGCTGATAGATAAAACACAGGATAGACATGGCAATGCCGGTCTTAGTTTCCGTGTTCCGTTTGTAATAAAACCATGGACAAGCTGTATCTTGCATGTACGTTGGTCTCGGTTTCGTTTTGTTTGTGTTTTGGTTTAATCTGAATAGACCTTGGAACAACTTGTCTTCTGTTTTTCCAATGTCTTATGTTTTGTTTAATCTTGCTGCTTGATGAATCTCGATCATGTGATTTGTTGAGTCCACGATTATAGGGTGTTGTTTTGTTGAGTCATTTGAATATTAAAAGTTACAAAATGGTCACTCGACTATTCATTATGTTTCAAACTCGTTATTTCCGTTAAAAAATTGACGGCCGTCTGGGCTGAATGTTAATACTTAAAATTTTTCTTAATAAATCCATTTGATTTATTAAAAGAAAAAATTATTACAAAAAGACTAAGCAAAGGGTCCATCTAGAGACAAAATTAAAAATAACAATGTTTATTAAGAAAGCACATTTAAGAACAAGTATCAGTATACAAAATGTACTAGAAAAGGGGTTGTTTAATATCATCCCAAGACTTGAACATAAGTCTTTTATTAAACCGTTTTCTTACGTGGTACTATTTATTATTGTAAAATACTCCTTTAGTACTTAAATTATCAGTTTTGATTTATTTTAGTATATAAATTTTTATTTTTTCAAAATCATACTTAAACTTTAGTTTTGTTTCATTTTAGTACTCGTTTGAAATTTAACATTAAGTTTTGAGAAAAAATGAAAGTTTAGATACTAAACGCATTAAGTTTTTAACGACAATATACTAAAATGAAACGAAAATTAAACGTTAGGTATGATTTTAAAAAATTAAAAGTTTAAGTACTATAACGGATTAACACTGATAGTTTATGTACTAAATACGTAGTTTACACTTGTTATTATTACTACTATAATTATTATTTTAAAGGGTGAATTGCGTGTTTACTACCTAAATTATCAACTTTGATTCATTTTAGTACCTGAACTTTCAATTTTTTAGAACTATACTTAAAGTTTAGTTTTTATTTTATTTTTGTACTCCGCTGTTAAAATGAACAAAAACTGATAGTTTAGATATTAAAACCATTAAGTTTTTAACGACGGGTACTAAAATAAAAGGAAACTAAATTTTAGGTATGGTTTTGAAATAATCGAAAGTTTAAGTATTATAACGAATCAAATAGTTTATTTACTAATGTGCAATTTGCTCTATTTTAAATAACGAAGTAATATTATGTTAATATTCCTTGAGTGTTGCTTTCATAACCGGTGTAGCGCCGTTTGGATCAATCTCAACCGTTGCCACATATTTGAACTTATGCACAGTATCAGGTTTGGAACAAGATGACTTCAGCTGCGATTCAATCGCGGACCAGTCAACTTTTTCGTCACCTCGAATGATATCAACATAGGCCTGTGATCGGTAGAGATTTATCGATCAATAAATCAAATACAGACGAATTTAATACGATAAATATAACGAAAAGAAACAATATCGTACCTTGTTGCTTTCATCATTCATGTTGCGCCATGCAACAACCAACTTGATATTGCCTTTGAAAGAATACGCAACCCCCGCCTTGGGAGTCTCCGGTGAAGGGACAGGAGTCGTGCTTGACTTTTCCGAGCATTCTTGCTTGGATAACCACCGGGGGATCTCCGGACCCGTACCAGTTGATACGGTCGAACATGGTGAGAGCATCGTTAATCCTGTTTTGAAGAGTGATGTCTGTGTAAAATTTAGGATCCGGGTTACAAGCTGCATCAACAGCCATTTATATTTCAAAATACCTGAAGCTATTGGTTTGATTGTGTTGTGCTGAGGCACCCTTATATATATATATACTATTCTACAAAGACGGACAGGGCTGAAATTAAACTTTAAAATTTTAAAGGATAAATTTAAATTTATAAAAATAATTAAGAATATATAATAGTTTCACGTCCCCTCAATCCATCCTGCCAGATTGCAACCATAGGAGGACAATAGGTTGCTATAGATTTTTATTTTTTTAATACTTATAAACAGCCTGAATTTTATATTAAAAACTGCATAAATATATGGGTAAAATACACCCTGCACTTATTCAATTATGTGTTCGATAATAAATAGTTCATTTTTTTCTCTAAACGTTATAATTCAGTCCCTCAATTAATATTTTTATAAACAGATCATTAATCGTTAAAATTGAAACGAACCTCTAATGTAGTTGGCATAACAATGCTTTTAGTCTCGAAACTTATGCATTTCTATCGATTTGGTCCTAATTCGAAATAATTCAATAAATTTAATCATTCGTAAAAACTATCATCTAGTCTCTCTCTCTCTTTTTGCAATATTATCAAATTGAGTGAGTCAATCGGATCAAAACAACAATCAAATAATTGCATTGTCATAAATAAATAACATGTTACTATTAAACTGTTATTGTAACAAAAATAATATAAAATTTATAGGAGAAGAACAAGCAATTTAGAAGGGAAAAAAAGACTAAAATGATGAATATCCTTTATACGAAGGATATTCATCATGACTAAATTATGACTAAATTGATAGAATATATAAATTATGGGGACCAAAACTATTATTATATTAGATCATGTTATCATTCCATATATTTAACAAACAATAATTTGTTTATAAAAATATTTTAATCATTTGATTAAATTGTAATATTTAAAAACAAGTGACTTGTTTGTGACCGAACTTGTAATTGAGTAGGCTTAAGTATATTTTTCCCATATATATTTATTTTATAGGGAAATTAAGTACATGTTGACATTAAATTTTCTCAATAGTTGACTTTAATTTAATTACTTTTAATTATATTGCAAGTGTTAATGTCTGGATATTAGCTTCTTGTCACATGTATGACATGTTGATTTTATTATTTAACTAGCACTAATTGCCCACTAATATAGTGGATTTTAAATTTAACTTTAATAACTTTTATTAATTGATGCACGAACTAAATTATTTCGATAGTTAACAAAATTATTGTTATTTATAAAGGTCTTAGGTTTAAGCATACAGATTGTGGAGTATTGAGTATTTATTATCCAATGATTGAGAGTTATACATAAAATATCTAGAGTAAATTATGCGTTTAGTAGCTAAACTGTTAATTTTGGTCCGTTTTAGTATTTAAACTTTTAATTTTTTAAAATCATATATGATGTTTAGCTTTTGTTTTATTTTAGTACCTCATCGTTAAAACATAATGACACATTTTTTATGGGTAAATTACATCATTCATCCTCAACTATCTTCTCACTCCTATTTTGATACTAAAGTTTAAGAATTTCAATTTAACTACTCAGCTTTCAAATTGTTCCTATTTTAATCACTCTCGTTTATTTTATTAATAACTTTTCTGATAAGATTTTGTTTTTTATTATATATAATTAAAAATAAAAAATAAATTTGAAAGTTAAAGTGATTAAATTATGAATAATTTGAAAATTAAGTAATTAAATTTAAAATTTAAACTTGAGTAACCAAAATAGGAGTGAGAAAATAGTTAAATGATGACTGATGCAATTTACCCATAAAAAAGTGTCACGTTCAAATCACTCGTAAAATTTTTAACAATGATGTAGTAAAACAAAACAAAAATTAAATGTTTGATATGATAATTTACTTATTAAACGCATAATCTACCAAAATATCTTTTATTTAAAAATTATACATTTTAATTAATATCATATCGGAAAATTGATTCTATTACCATCTTATCAATCTTATCACGAGATTTTATCAAATTAAAGTTGATTTTCAATGGGTAGTTAGCATCCTAATTCAATGGTAAGAAATGTACGTGATTGAAAATATTATAAAATTATAATATTTTTTTTGGATGATTATTTAATATGTTAATCTTTTAATTAACCAAATATATTATACAGAATATAATATTTTTGGTTTTTAATAAAAAAATGTTATAAAAAAATATTTTCAACCGAAAAATGTTGAGAAAAAAATTAACATTTTAAATTTCTCTTAATCAATAATTTTATAAATTTTATAATATTTCGATAATTTTTTTTTAACTTTAAATTAAATTGTCTCCTTATAGTACTCATTTTCAATTGGATACCTTACCTACTACTCTCTTTTTGCGGTGATGGAAATATAGAGACATGCTACAGTCCTTCACCGAGGCCACGTTAAGTGGACGTCTTTCTTTATGTCTACTTGAAGATAATTGGTATAAAATTTTTGGTGTCAAATTAGGCGTAGCTAGGTGGACTCAATTGTGACAATGATGATGTTTCATGACTGGAAAAAAAATTTACCACTAAGGTAACCCAATAGGTTGCACTTTAATAATTTTAACATTGTATATTGCCCGATAAAGACAGGTTAAACAGTGGATTAGCACTATTAATTTACCTTAACAAAGGCAATGTGTTTTGATATTTTCTCAACTCTTCTACCCACTTCATATAAAACATTTAGGATAAGTCAATTATGGATGATTTTGATTGATCACTCATCTGTTGATGCAATCAACCAAATTATTTAACTATTTAAAAATATTAATCAAATCATCTATCATTGATTAATATTCATCAGAGAAACTGACGTGATGGTTAACAAAATATAGACAATCACAAATCAATAAATCATCAATCAAATATAAAAAATAATAAAAACAAGGCAAAAAAACATTAGAGGTCTCTATACTTTCAAAAAAATAATATAATTCTCGTATTATTTTTTTTTCAATGTGACCCTCCAACTCATAAAATAAACTCAATATGACTTTTTGACCAATATTTTTTCGTCGTTGATGGTGTTGAAGTGATAGTTCACGATGATGACGTGATAATCCGCAATACTAACGTAATAGTTCACGACACCGTCAACTCCTACCTTTGGCCATTATAATGCCGCTGCACGCGTCTCACATCCAAGCTGCGGTTTACTGTTGCAGAAAACTTGGGCTGCAAGTCAGAACTCGAAGTGGGGTCATGACTACGAGGGTCTTTCTTATACGACGGCTTATAAGGTTCCGTTAGTGGTGTTCGATTTGGTGAATCTTTGATCGGTTCACGTTAACCTTTTGATGAAGCTACAGCTTGGGTTGAGTCTGGTGCAACTATTGGTGAATTGTACTATGAGATTTTTCAGAAAAAGTAAACTCTTGCCTTTCCGGCTGGTATCGCCCACCATCGGTCTTGGTGGACATTTGAGTGGAGGTGGCTACGGTTCATTGCATCGAACATACGGTCTCACCGCCGAGAATGTTCTCGACGCTCGTTTGATTGATGTTAAAGGAAGAATTCTTGATCGGAAATCTATGGGAGAGAATTTGTTTTAGGCCATTCGAGGATGTGGCATGGTAAGTTTTGGGATCGTCCTTGCTTGGAAACTGAAATTAGTCCTGGTTCCAGCTAATGTTACGGCCTGTAGAGTCACCAAGACGTTAGAGTAAAACGCCACCAAACTTGTCCATCGGTGGCAATATATTACGCACAAACTTCCCAAAAATATACACGCCAGCATTATCATATCAAGGGTGAATTCAAGTGAAGATGAGAAGACGAAGTAGCTTTCAGTTACGTATTTCTTGGAAGCATCGATGAGCTTCTTCCATTGCTGGAAGAGAAATTCCCTGAACTTGGATTAGTGAACGAAGATTGCTTAGAAATGAGTTGGGTTGAATCCAATCTTTACTTGACCTGGTTTCCAATCAGAGCTCCACTGGAAACTTCACTTAATAGGAGTTCAGAATCAGCTCTTTCGAAATTGTTCTTCAAAGCAAAATCCGACTTCGTAAAACAGCCTATTCCAGCAACTGCGTTCGAAGGATTGTGGTCCAAGTTTTACGACGATGAAGCCGAATCAGCATTTATGACATTTGTGGCATACGGTGGGGAAATGGATGATATTCCTGAGACTGAAACTCCATTTCCTCACAAAGTTGGTAACCTCTACAGAATCATGTACGTGGTGAATTGGGAGGAAGAAGAAGATAAAAACTCTGAAAAGTTCATGGGTTGGATGAGGAGGGTTTACAATTACATGACACCATATGTTTTGGAATCTCCACGAGGAGCTTACGTAAATTACAAAGAGCTTGAGATCGGAGCTAGTGAAATTAGCGACGACAACATCAGCTACGAAAAAGCCAAGATTTGGGGTCTGAAATATTTTAAAAACAATTTCAACAGGCTGGTGCATGTAAAGACAACAGTTGATCCTGAAAACTTCTTCAAGCATGAACAAAGCATCCCTCCACTTCCTCATTTGTTGAAGAAAGGATCAAACTGGAGTTTGTAAGATCAGATATAGTTTCTTTGGCAAGTTTTCTATTGATGATTTATGAGTTATTGTGATAGTTTACCATAGTTTTGGGCAAGTTCCTTTATCTAAACCCAAAATCGGCTAACCAATGATGGGTACTGTTTTACCAATGAAACAAAATGGAAGTCTGAGTCTAAGAAATAACAATGAGCTACTGTGTTTACTATAGTAGTTTCAGTCAATTCATGCGCTCTTCAAGGGTCAGTCACTTAACAGGCAGTACATACAATCCTTAAATGCTAAAAGGGGAGACCTGGTAGAGGATTGCTAGTTAAAGATCATGGCCATCAACGGATTGAAGGGTAAAATGATGCAGAATGGAGTGGCTGTATAACTGACAAAAGATTAATTACTTCAGGCTAGCGTACATATATGTGGGGGTAAATTTAGTAACTCGATTAAGTAAAAAACAGTGTCGTGGTTCGGAGTAGCACAGAAGCTTGATTTAGAAAAAAAAAACCTCTAGGAATATGTAAGTTGTTATGGTTTGAGAAATTAGTCAGACCTAAAGGCTTTAAACTCTCCACCCATGAGGTTTTACTGCAACAACGAAGCTTCTATCAGAATAGCACTTCATCAAGGCAAGCACTACCCTATCTGTTAGTCTCTTTGTGATAGGTTTGTTACGGTTTCGATGAAAATTTAAGCCACATGATAGGTACATTATACCTATCATAAATATCCAAAGCACAAGCACTCTTCTAAGAACCCAATCTAATTCCTCAGCAGAAGCCTGCTAAAGTTTCTCGGGGGTGAGACATCTACTATTGTATTTACCAAGTTTTTTATCAGACTTGGTTTTTTGGAGTGTAGATTCTTTTTTTTAGTGTTCAGGATCAAGACAACTGACTTGAGCTATGCTGCAAATTGACACTCTTTCAGTATTTTCCTAAAACATAAAAAATAATAATATCGAACATATATACGGTTCTCAAAAGTCCAAGTGACAGGCTTTTGAGCATCGAAACCTATTCAGAGTATTCATGGATGAAACAGGAATTGATGACTGAGAGAAGACTTCTAAGGTATTATTTAGGACGAACAGAAAGCTGAAATATCATACATCATAAAAAATACAGAGTTCCATCACCATAGATACGCATACTAAAGAACATACACATTACCTTAATTAAATTTCATAACCACTAAGTTGAATAGGCTCCACAACAATTCATGAAAGCAAGTTGCAATAATCCTAATTCTTTCTAGTTTCAGACTACACAATGTGATTATATATACCTTCAATTGAATTTTAAGTCCGGCCGAAATTTGCTAAAAAACAAGGGACATGCACTACAAATTACAAAACCAACAACAGCTAGAACATCATGGGACTAAAGAAGAACTAAAGCTACCAGCTAACAGGCAATATGTATTAAGCAATTTTTGCAGATACAGAACATACCAGGTATTTTTTGTCACTCAAGATTGGTGTGGCGAGCTCGAATAGCCTCAGGGCTCTCTCCCAAAGCCTCACCCAGTTCATACACCACCATCTCAAACAATAAAAACTTTATTACGAATTATCTAAATAAAATAATTAATTATTAATATAAAAACCCAATCCTTTTAAAGTACGATTATAATAACAAAAAATTTAAATAAAGTCTTTCGTTGATATTAAGGCTCCGTTTGGTTCAGGGTATAATTCATTTCTGGGAAGAATGTTTTTCCCGGATGAATATACCCACGTTTGGATGGGGGCATATTACCGAGTGCCCGTGAAAAAATAATACTAAAGGTAATTTTTTTTACTGTTTTCCCGGGAATGTCTATCACTCATCTCCCTTATGTATTTCATTATTCCCGTCCCCTTGTCTAAAATAGCCTTCTCCCTTCGTTCTGGTTGATTCACTGTGAAATTCTCGTTGTGCGTTCGCCTTCCTTCGCTGCTCCCCTGAAAAGTTGATTCTCTGAAAAGCTGAAGATCAAGCAAGGATGTGAGTTTACATATCTACTTTTCCTTTGTTTAATCTTCAATTTCTTTGATGTTTTTTCTCTGTTTCATACTTGGAAATTTTAAGGAAAACGTAATCTTTGATGTTTCTTCTCTGTTTTCCCAAACTCCCCTCACTCTGCACTGTACCAATACTGTAACATCCTCAATACCGGGTTAGTGACTAAATTGTAAGGTTTCAAAATTTGGTGATTTAAATTAGAATAATTGAGTGGTTTAAAGACTTATATGAGAAATGAGGTGTAAGATCAAATTGAAAAGAATGAGGAATGAAAGGATAGTATGGTCATTTGCAAAGAAAAAAATATAATAATATATGGTATATATAGATACACGTGGAAGGAAGGAAACAAAGTTTAGAGGTTTCCAGAGTTCTCTTTTTTTTCTTCTTCTTCTTCACGTGTGAAGCCAAGCAAATGTGAGTTTTCTCTTGAGCTGATTATGTGCTGAAATTTAAGTTTAGTTTTGATTATTAGATGCTAAGTAAGATTAAGGAAAGATTAATTTGCTTTAAAATAACAAGATGAAGAGTTTATGAGGATTTAAAGATTTGGAGTTTTTGAATGAAATATCGAAATAAAGTTTATATTGAGATTTGGAAGTTGAATTTGACTTGTCCCTAACTTGATTAAGGGATATAAAGGGTTAGAATCAGAATTATATCATATGGGAATTTGAGTGAAATTCTTAAATTCTATGTGGAGGAATGGATTTTGAAGTGTAAGAGATATTGAATGGGCATTAATTAGTTTAAATAAGTGTATAAGAGTTAAGAACATGAAAGGCGATGAAATATGAAGCATTTGAGTTGTTTTGAGTAGATTTTCGGGATTTAAAATGAATTTTGAGCTATGTGCATCGATGCACATTCAAGGTGCACCGATGCATCAAGGGTAAATCTCTAGAAATTGTTCAGTGTGTATCGATGCACAGGAAGTGCATCGATGCACCTATTAAAATGGAAACATCGAATGCAATTGGTGCATCGATGCATAAGGAGTGCATCGATCCATCCCCGCACATGCTAAAGAATGCATCGATGCACTGTTGAATGCATCGATGCACTTCAAGAGAAATATAAATAAACCTTTCATTTGGTCTAAGAAATGATAGATTAGAGTATATTAATTGGATACTGATATGTATCAATGTATTATTACGTAGATATTGAACGTGACTTTGCTTCAAAGTAATCGAAGGGTTAGAATTGGTTCAATTCAAACAAGGCTAAGGTGAGTGCATGTGCATAACATGATCATGTTAGTATATTCAGTTCTAGACTTGCGATAAGTCTAGATTTAATATCTTGATACATGATTCATTCAATATTATTAAATATGATATGAATTCATACCATATGCATTATGGGATATACTATGCAGATTGTGGTAAGTCTATTTTCCAGATTAGAGCTTATATATGAATGTATGTGTCATATGGGATTGAATGAGTTACGAGATATCTATATTAGGTATATGAAGTGTGTGTGCTGTGTTTGTTATGGTTTATATGTATGAATAAGCATATGTATTGACATGTTACAGTATATATATATTATATGAGTTGTGTAAATAGGTAGATAAATGTGTTAAATATGTGAAATAGTTAAAATGATCAATATGATTTCATAAGAATATGAAATAAGAAGTATGGAAAGGACATAAGAAATAATATGAAATATATAGCATATGAATATGAAATCATATGAGGGGTGACATGAATTATATGAAAAAAATAAACTACGTGATTACAAATATATGAAAATATACTAGTGTGATGGGACCTAGGAACTAGTATACGTGATATATATATATATACATTTATATAAGTTATTGGATGAAAAAATGAACAAGAGATAAAAGAGATGAATGATAATACTATAGGAGTATGATAAAAACATAAATGATGACATGTATGTAATGGTTATATGAAAAGGTATATGTAATAATATGATCATATGAACATGTGATAAAGAGCTATAGAAAAAGAAAAATGTGATATGATGTGTGAATATGTAATAAGGTAAAAGACAATGCCATGATATGAGTTATGAGAACTGTAAGTATAGTTGGTATGCCAAGAGTCAAAGAACTACCTATGTCTTTCGAGACATATGGACAGTATACCTATGTTTTAAGGAACATATGAATAGTTTACCTAGGTTCTTCGGGACCTATGGACAGTTACCGAGGATCTTTATGACCTATGGATAGTTACCGAGGATCTTTATGATCTCTGGATAGTTACCGAGGATCTTTATGGCCTCTGGATAGTTACCGAGGATCTTTATGACCTCTGGATAGGTCCTTCGGAACATTCATTGAGCTGTGGTGACAGCATACGTGTGCACAACCTCATAATACTCGTATACCTTGGGTTCTCAATAGTGTATATGAGCTTAAATTTGTATCTCTGGAGGTGTATTACCTAGTCGAAGATATCGCCTAAACACCCGAAATCGGGCTGCTAGGTAGGCCTCAATCCATGGGAGGATGCACATGCCATTTTGCAGTCAAACGTCTTTATGCTCGTCCATTGCTTGCACTTATTATATACAATGAGAGACGCCATATAAACAAATTTGGCTTTGTTTGCCATGAACCCCTTGACAAAGATGCCATTGACCCTGGTGCTAAGAAAATTCCATATATTTCCAATGAGATTCAACAACAAACAATGTCCATGATCTATTTGGGTATTCCTGAAGAAAACGTGTTGGAGAAACACATAGAGTATGTTCAACGATATGGTGGTTCAGAGTTATCGTTTTCTTGTGTGTCGCAACTTATCGGTAGTGAATATTGGAAGTCTTAGATAACAAAAATAATTTACATCTTTTTATTATTATGAATATATATGAATAATTTCCACAATGTAAACATTTAGTTAAATATTAATGTAAAATTTTAATATATTTTTTCATAAATTATGTAAAATTTAATATTAATTAAAATTAAAATAATACATGATATATTTAAATACTCAAGTAATATATTATCAACAAATAGAATTTTTATATAAATAATTTTTATTTAAATATTTAGAATTTCACTTGTTAAAAAAACAAATATAGAACAAGGATAATTTGGTAAAATATACATTCCAGTAATCTTTTATTCATTCAACCAAACACTGTAATCCTCTGTTTTGAAAACCGGACCGGACCGCCCGGTTCAACCGGGAACCGTTGCTTAGTCTGGTTCAATCTAAACCGGTTGAACCGCTATTAGTGAACCGGCCAGAACCGCTGAACCGTTCGAACCGGACCGGCTGAAAACCGAAAAAAACCGGGAAAAACAGAGATTTTTGTTTTTTAAAAAAAAAATTAAACCAAACAACGTCGTTTGTTAAACGAGCCAAGCCGAACTCAAGTATTGCTGAGCTCGACTCGAATTTGAAAACTTTAAAAGTAAGCTCAACTCAACTCAAACTCACAAGCTAAAAATTATCAAGTTCAACTCAAACTCGAAATAATATTGAAACTTGAACTCAAAAAGGCTTGAACCGCTAAACCGTTCGAACCGGACCGGCTGAAAACCGAAAAAAACCGGGAAAAACAGAGATTTTGTTTTTTTAAAAAAAAATTAAACTAAACAACGTCGTTTGTTAAACGAGCCAAGTCGAACTCGAGTATTGCTGAGCTTGACTCGAATTTGAAAACTTTAAAAGTAAGCTCAACTCAACTCAAACTCACAAGCTAAAAATTATCAAGTTTAACTCAAACTCGAAATATAATATTGAAACTTGAACTCAAAAAGGCTTGAACTCAAAAAAAAATTAGAAGCTCGTTTGAAGCCTAAAATTCGAGCTTGATTGAAGTGAAAGAATAGTTATATAATTATAGTTATATAATTTTGTTATGATTTTTTTAACCCCAAATTTATTTTTTATTATAGTTATATAATTATATTTATTATTTAATATGTTTTACCTTAAATATTATGTTGTAGTTAATTTGAATCATTTTGTTTCACTTGATTTTATGGTTTTTAACTTATATATGTTATGACTTGTTTTGAATATAACTTGTGATATAAAAAATTATTTTTTATTAAATATTTTTGGTATTTTTATTTAATTTTTTAAATATTTATGACATCGTTCGGTTTTTCCAACCGGTTAGACCAATTCGACCGATTGAACCAGTGAATCGATAGCATGATCGGTTCGCTAACCCGTCCGATTCTGAAAATCATGCTGGGAGCGGGTGGAAAATGATACCTTATACGGCGGACATGATACGGACATATATAACTTGAAAGATGAAAGTTTTAATTCAATCAATGAGTTCTCTTCGGACGGTATTCGGCCACCACCTTGTTGGATCATCCCACCCGCCATGCTAGAGCCCTACCAATCTTGGCTGCAACATTTTTTTTTTTCTCCCCATGAAGTGTTGATTTTCTTTGTAGTGTAACCAACTACTTACTGCTAATAATAAATAAGTTATTGTCTCTCTAATTATTTTCTGTATAATAATATTTTATATTCTTTTTACTTTAAATATTTTGATAGTTATTAATAAAGATAATCATTCACATAATATCGACTTTTTACATTATTTATTATTATTTATTATTTTTGCTACCAGCCAACCATATTAGGTAAGAACTGCCAAGAAAGCAATGAAATTATTAATATAACAGATAATATGAAAGTATGGCAAGAATTTCTTATTTAAAAAAAACAATTAAATTAGGTAATAACTACCAAAAAAGCGAGATACTTGTCAATGCATGTGTTTTATATCATGTTTTTCGTAATTTATTAACCATATTAGCATCGTTGTAAGTTGGAATAAACATTTTTTATTTAATTTTTTATATATGCAGAATATCTCGTATAATCAAATAATAATATTTTTTTAAAATATCATAAGTCCAGATATTCAAACCAGTAAATTTATTTTTTTTATAGAAAAAAAGATATTAGAGGTCCTTTATTTTTAAAAAAAATTGATGTAGTCATCGTATTATTTTTTTCTATCAATATGGTTCTCTGACTAAAAAAAACCTCAATGTGGCCTTTGACCAACGTTTTTTCATTGTTGACCGTTATGATACTGACATGCCAATTAACGGCGCTGACGTGGCTATTTGTGATGCCGATATGACACTCCATATGCCACGTTTGAGTAATAAATTTAACCAATCTATCATGTTAATCTGATATCATTGAATGTCATGTCAACATAGTGGATTATCACATTAGCACTCTGAACTGCTATATCAACACTATAACGATCAAAAATGAAAAAACGTTGGTTAAAAAATTATACTATATTTATTTTCTGAGATGGACGACCACATTAAAAAAAGAAATAATACGAATGACCTTTATTTTTTTTCAAAAGTATATGACCTCTTATTAAATTTAGGAGTAATATACAATACATGTCACTTAATTATTAGTAAGATTACAAATAGGTCACTGAATTTTAAAAAATAAAAACACATCACTCAATTAATTAATTGTAACAAGCAAATCACTTTGTTATTAAAATGAGACGAAAATTAGCCTTCTAGTTAAATCAGATCACTATATTTATCATTTGTAACAAGTATGCCACTTTTTTTTTAATATTTGTAACTATCTGATCATTCAATTATAGCTAAAAATTAACATTCATTTTATTTTTAACGACAATGTGATTTGATCGTTATAGTTGATTAACTGATTTATTCGTTTGTAATTTTTTAAATTCAGTGACTAGTTTGTAATTTTACTAATAATTGAGCTATTTTTAGTGTATTTTAACCTAAAATTAAAACAAAGAAATTAATCATAGGTAAACCACATTTCATGTCACCCGATTATTAGTTCGATTACAAATAAGTCACATTTGTAGTGTATTTTAACCTAAAATTATAACAAAAGAAAATTAATCTTTATGGACTAAAACTATTATTATATCAGGTCTGGTTAGACTTTCATTTCAATTTTAATGGTGGTGACCTGTTTGTAATAATATTTTAATTAATTGACCAAAATGTAAATTTTAGAAAATAACATTACCCGTTTATAATCAAACTGATACCCAAGTGATATGTAATGTAATTTGCTCATAATTATCAAATTTCCGGGATAAACGGGTTATAAGGATGCACAGGTAGAAAACTCCAATGGCAAGCATCAAAGCCTTCTCTAGTCTCTACCTACCAATTTTAAGACCAGACTCACTGAGTTGAGACCAACTCGCTAAAAGAAATCTTAAGCGATGGCTTTGCTGATATGGGAGACTTTGAAGGAGGCGATAACTGCGTATACGGGTCTGTCTCCGGCCACTTTCTTCACGGTTCTTGCTCTGTTATGGGCCGTTTACTATGTAGCAACCAGTCTATTCGGGTCATCCGACGATCACAACCATCAACGGTCCAGGGCTTTCGAGGAGGAGCAGATGGAGCCGCTCCCACCACCGGTTCAGCTCGGCGAGATTGCCGAGGAGGAGCTTAAGCAATATGATGGGTCGGATTCTAAGAAGCCACTCCTCATGGCTATTAAGGGTCAGATCTATGATGTTTCTCAAAGCAGGTTTAAACTTTTTTTTCCCTCTCTTTTCTTTAAAATTCCGGGTTTTTCTTTTTCGATTTTCAATCCTTTTGTCGGGGGTCATTGGGAATGAAAAAGTAAATTTGGGGGTTTCTAGAAATTACTTTAATTCTCATCTTTCTAGACTACTTTTCACTTGCTTTTAGCTCATGGTTGAACTGGATTGCAGATTTTTGCTGTTCTGCTGGTTTCTTTTTAGTTTATTGATGTTAGATTGTCTTTTTTATCAATCAAACAGCTTATGATTTTGCTGCCATGAGTTACTCCATGTAATTACAGTGAAAGTTTGCATTTTGATTTCTTAAGATTGGATGATCAGTTCAAAAATTGTGAGATGAATATGATCAACCAGGTATGATATGTAACCAAAGTGGTTCATTCTAAATACTCCATATTCTGTTGCTTGGTTTTGCTTGTCTAATTAAAAGTCCTAGACTTTGACCCTGAGTCACATGTTTTGACTGAGGGAAAAAATGAAAACTGAATCATATGGTGCCGTTCTGTTTCATCTAGATATTTAACCTGTTTCTATGATCACATGTGTTAGCATGTTTTTGTATCTCGGTTCGTACGAGTTTATTCGATCCACAATTCAATTAAGTGAAGTGATGAGACCGCCATGTCTTTTTTGTGAACTCTGTTTCTCTCCAACAAATTGTTGGACACTATTTTTCAGTAGTTATGTAGGATTATACTTCTGTCTTGTGTCTTCCTCGTCTTCCCTTTCTCTAATAAGGTAACATGCATACACGAAATGAGCACAGTCGAGAAAAGACTTTGAGGTAAGCTTGAACTTGGTTGAGCTTAATTTGTTGTTGTTTTGTCACCCGACTTTATCCTGTCCAATATGGTGTCTGTCGTCCCCTTTCATTTAGACATTTAACCTGTTTCTATGATCACAGGTGTTACATGTTTCTCGGATACTAGTATGTAGTCGATTCAAGTAAGCGAAGTGATGAGATCGCTGTCTTTTTTGTGAACTTTGCTTCTCTCCAACTAATAGTTGGAGCACTATTTTTCTTTAGTTATATAGGATTACACTTCTATCCTGTGTCTTCCTTGTCTTCCCTTTCTCTAATATGGTTACATATACATGCATGATGCATGCATGAAATGAACACAGTCGAGAAAAAGACTTTGATAAGCTTGAACTTGGTTGAGTTTAATTTGTTGTTCTTTTGTCACCTGACTTTGTTCCTGTCCAATGTGGCTAACATAGTTATGTTCCTGTTTTCTCCTATTTGGTCGGATGGGTTATAAAACTTTAACCAATCGTTTCAAACTTTTAGAGTAACGTGTATTTTGTACAACTGGAGTACTATATTCCGAGGCGTGAGACTTTTATTGTAGTTCCGTACTGGTTTGAGGCTATTTTGCCTTATACGATCCATACATAACGTGTTGGAAGTGCTCGAATAACGCCTTTCCAAGTAATCTTTATCGTCAATCTGTGTTGAAACTTTTCACGATTGTTGAATTTGCAAGAGGCATGATTGGTCATACATTATATATGCAAGAATTATTCATACGAATCAGAAAGTCCTTGGCTGTTACCTGAAATGCAATATTTCTTGCAGAATGTTTTACGGACCTGATGGACCTTACGCGTTGTTCGCCGGAAAAGACGCAAGCAGAGCTCTCGCAAAGATGTCTTTCGAAGAGAAAGATCTAACGGGAGACATCTCGGGTCTCGGTCCATTCGAATTGGATGCATTGCAGGATTGGGAGTACAAGTTCATGAGCAAGTACGTTAAGGTTGGAACCATCAAGAAGACGGTTCCAGCAACAGAAGGGGATGCCAATGGTGAAGCCTCGGGAGCTGCAGAAACCGATGCTAAGCCAGCTGGAGATGGCCCATCGCAAAGTCTAGTTGCTGAAGCGGAGGAAAAACCTTCTACTGCAGATACTAAGGATGAGTAACTTGTTCGGGCTTAGCTATTTCCGATTCGAACAGGTGATCAGTCTTTCTGCTGGACTGGACATGGCAGATGAGACAGCGTTATGTGCCAGATACTCGTGTAGCAAACTTGCCTCCAATAAACTGGGATGTTAAAACTTTGAGAATTAAATATGTGTTTGATACTTGAATTTTATTCTGAGTTGATATTTAAATTTAATTTCATTCACTATTTTAATATATTTTATTAATGATGTTAATTTCTAATGACGTGATAATATAAAATCATATTATATATTTATAATAATGTTATTATCTATTTTCTAAAAAAATCTTAAAATTTATCAAGAAAGATATAAAAACTAAAGTACTTAAAAACAAAATAAACAAGCTTAGTTTTAGTATTCATCTTTATTTTTTTGGGTAAACTATACATTTAGTACCTAAACTATCAGTTTTAGTCTATTTTAGTACCTAAACTATCAGTTTTAGTCTATTTTAGTATCTAAACTTTCATTTTTTCCAAAATCATATTTAAAGTTTAGTTTTTGTTTCATTTTAGTATCTCGCTTTTAAAAATTTAACGCGTTTAGTACCTAAACTATTAATTTTGATCCGTTTTAGTACCTAAACTTTAAAAAAAATTCAAAAGTTAATGACAAATTTTAAACCAAGATACTAAAATGAAATAAAAACTAAACTTTAGGAATGATTTTGAAAAAAATTGAAAGTTTAAATACTAAAACGGATCAAAACTGATAGTTTAGATACTAAACGTGTAATTTACCCTTATTTTTTCCTTTGAATAAAAGACCAAAGATCAATGATCTTGGTCTAAGTAGATGCAATGAGGGGAAAAAACAAACTTTAAACATTCATCTTTAGTTTAGTAATAATCTTTTGGGTAAATTATGCATTTAGTGCCTAAACTATCAGTTTTGATCTGTTTTAGGACCTAAACTATTTTTTAAAATCATACCTAATGTTTAGTTTTTATTTCATTTCAGTATACTCCGTTTAAAATTGAATGCGTTCAATACCTAAATTATTAGTTTTGATTCATTTTAATACCTAAACTTTCGATTTTTTTAAAACTTAATGTTGAATTTTGAAAAGAGTACTAAAATAAATAAATAAAACTAAAATTATGTATTAAAACGGACTAAAATTGATAGTTTAGGTACTAAACATTTAATTTACCCTAATTTTTCCTTTGAATTTGAGTGTGAATCTTATTTTTCTTTGGTTGAACGTATCTTTGACATGATCAGTAAGTAAACGAAAACTATGGTAAATGGAAGTATCTAATGCACGTGTCTATTTTGGATTGGAAGGACACCATAAAGGATTTTCATTCACCGAAACTAGTGTGAAGCCAAGCAGCATGCACATGTCACGTAACTTTTACTCTTCACCTCTTTCCCCATTTCGCTGTTTTTTTCTTACAGAAGCTGAAACAATTTAATACTAATAAACCTAAAAGGAGAAGTAGAGGAAGGGGGCAACATGCTGGTGTTGGTTTACTTTCTAATACGAAACTCGAATCCAAGTGGTAGAATCTGAAGAAGTGGTTCTCTCGTTTTTAGTGTATTGATAAAAAAACAAAACAATTAATTAATTAATTAACATTGTGGAGACCGGTTGAAATCACTGTGAGTTTTGGCAACACGTGGTTTCTGAGGAAAGGAAAGCCCTTTGTTTGAGAGCAAACACTTTCCCCTTTGGTGGGTTCATCTTCAACTTCAAGGGCTTTGAGGGGGGGGGGAACAAACACCCTTTGTTTTGTGCTTGTTTTCCTCGTCGTCGCCGGAGGTTTTTCGCCGTTTGAAGGTTGAGACTTGCGGATAAATGAAGGAACGGACGGCCGATGACTGGCTACCACCTGGCTGGAAAGTAGAGTTGAAACGCAGAAGGAATGGTAAAAAAGATAAGGTATGTGTTATTAAATTTCTTTTTTTTCTGTCAATGAAGAACATCCATTTTTCATCTTCAAGGTTTTAGCTTTGAAACTGTAAGATCCTTGGTTTGTTTTTTAACGTAATTTTACTTCATGGGAGTTCAATTTTTGAGCTTCTGTTTTGCATCATTAGCTGGGGTCCCCCCCCCTTTCATGGTCATGTGAAAGATAAGATCTTTAAATCAAACAACTATAATTCTATTGGTTTCTGCTTTATCCATTTGTTTTATGGTTGCTGGAGGGTTGATGATGCAGTAATTATGTTGTTTAATGGTGAGGTTTAGCAGATGTTAACTTGTTTCATGTTTGAAGGAAATAAATTATTCTTGTGTAAAGCTGTAGCTGCAGTCTGAAATCCTTGAAATTCTTGATGAGAAATAAGGTTCTGATTCAATTCGAATCGCATGGGTAGATCTCCGTTAACGATGAGAAATTATTGATGGGAAATAAGGTTCTGATTCAAGTTCGAAATCCTTGAATTGCAAGGTTCGAAATCCTTCTGCATCATGCGTGCTCGATGGTAGATCTCCGTTAACGATTCCAGCTATGTATTTTCTTATTCTCTGAGCTGGGCCTTTAACAAATTGAGGAAAGTTATTGTTAGATTTCTTAAATGTGGTTAACTTCCCCTTGTTCCATGATCTTCGATATTGTTTGGAGCGGAAGCAACAATGATGCTTTACTAACTGTACCTCACTCTTTCTTCTAGGAAAGTAAACGGGGAGCTAATAATACTCTCTTTAAACTAGGGAAACACTCCTAGTGTTTATGCTTCTGTTTCCCTAGTCTTTAGTTACTGGTGATTTTTTAAGTACGAGACATCGGACATTCGGACCCCTAGCATGCATTGATCGTATTTGATTGTCTTGTACCTGTTTATTTGTTTTGGCTGAGCAGTTTTCATTGGCTATGAATGCAAGGTGATTTGTTCAATGCTTACATGACATTTGGGCTTATTGCAGTGTTACCGTGCTCCGTGTGGCGAACTTAGATTCAATTCGAGGGCAGAGGTGACTCGCTATCTTGAGAAGTGTAATTCTAAAACAGAAGAGAAGGAAAAAGTCTCGGGCAAGAAACCTTCAAAAAAGGTCTGTTGATGAAATCTGAGCTTTTCGTTTGTTTATAACTTTAAAGGCATATTGATGTTTGCTGAAATCTGAGCTTCTCGACTAAACGAGAAATTTTTTATTGTTCAAGCAATATAGGTTACAGTTGAGAAGGCCGAGGCAGAAGGGTTACCTCCGGGATGGACTAAGGAAGTCAGGATAACGAAGAGGGCAAGGAGAGTCAGAAGAGATCCAGTACTATACTTTTTTCCTCGAAAATTTCTCTCTGTCTGCTATTCTTCGGATATTTTTTCTTTAAATTCAAATAGTTGCCTTTACTATTAGCTGATGACTATTGCTATGTCACTTGATATTATATTTCTGCAGTTTTACATTGATCCTGTGAGTGGATATTGGTTTCGTTCCATGAAGGATGCTCTTCGTTATGTTGAAACAGGGGAGATCAGGAAGCTTGCCATCAAGCCTAAGGAGAAAGGAAGCAACAACGAGGACTTGGTAGAAGATAATATCTGCGTAAATGTAATCATGTTTGGTTTCTCCGAGCTTCTATATTTGCATTTCTCAGTTAATTCGATATGAAACTGTTCACAGGTGGATTGTGTTGATACACATTGCGCAAAACCTTGACCGGTTCTTTGATTTTTGTTTTATGTCCCTTAGGAGCCTGGAAATGTCGAGAGCCAGAAGGTAACTGTGAACGGAACGATTGATGAAGTAGAGAGACAGACCACAGAACATGTTTCGAATTCGAGTGGGATAACAAAGGAAGAAGAGATGCTTACTTCTGCTAGTACCGGAGAACAGACATCCCTCTCTAAGCATACTCCTGATCAGCGTAAAGGTTTAAATTTGCATTCCCTTGAATCTATCGTTTTATCTTTGGTAACGGACTGTTTGATTCCGAAAGTCGGGGTGTTAGATTCCACTGATATGCTTATTGATGACGTGATAGGGTAATGGATCTGATCCAATTTATCTTTTATGCCTCAGCTGGAGAAGGTGCCGAGTTGAGCAGCTTGAACCTGTCTGAAGCTAAGGGCTCGAAACAGATAGGGCAAAAAGATTCTGAAGAAGGCATGCATGCTTCGGGCAATGCAGTTGGAATCCTCTCGGATAAACAGCTCAGGGATGATGCAAGAGACCGATCTGAAAAATCCCAACTGGGAAAGGGCAAGACCAAGATTAAGAAAGATGTTAATGTTCCTCGACGAGCTTCAAAGCGACTTGCTGCAGTTGCACTTGATCCAACATCAGAACTAAAAACCACTAAAGCTTGCCGAACTTCGATTAACCAATCAAGTGTAGTACCTGATGGAGCGGAGAATTCCTCCCCTGGTAACTGTATCGATGGGGCATCTAAACAGCTCAACCAACCCGAGTCTTCTTTGGAAACAAACTGTGCCCTTGATGCTTCAAAGAGTAAAGAGCAGATACAGGCAACAAGTAACGTTCTTTCTTCTGGGGACGCACTGACAGTGAAGTCATGTTGGAAATTTAGAAACAAAACTAATGGTGATGAAGATAAAAGTGTTTTGCCTTTGGGGAATGTTGCTATTTCAGGAGTACATTCTGAAAAGCTTGAAAGTGATGAAAAGGTTAGTGATGTGCCGGGATCCGATATTGGCATGCCTCTTGCAGATTTATGACAGACCCATGCATTGCATTGCCATTCAAACTCTAACCGGAATTACCTGTGATACTACAAAAATGTCCGAGTCAAACTGTGGTAAAGTCCCAGGGATTCAAACTACTCCAGAAGCTCGTTCCGAGAGGGAAGAAAACGGAAACAGGATTGACGGAAGGCAAGGATGTGGTATTGACGTGCCTCCGACAGGCCCAACTATTTGGAAAGAACAATCCGGAAAGGTCGAGAAATGCCACAAGACAGACAAGATGGCCGGACCATCCCTGGAAACGCCTTTGGCTGATATGTGGGCAGACCCTTGTATTGAATTCGCAATAAAGACTCTAACAGGTGCAATTCCAGTCGAGTACGATGTGGACAATCAGCATGGCCTTCAACAGCAGCCGATCAATACCCCACACCAATCTGGTAACCACTTGACCCTGCCGGACATCGGTATCGATAAATTCTCGCAAACCAATTTCATATGCCAGCAATACGACTTCGCCAATAAGTCCATGTCTAAAGACCAAGGTATTAGGAGTCCTATATATAATTACGCCCATCATCATCGCACCGGAGAGAGGCCATGAATGCCAAAGGCCATCGACTTCGAAGCCGTGTATAGTTCAGGAAACTAGCCGGAATATAGAGAAAATGACTAGCAACCTTCTTGTAACCTCATGTGTTCTTCATTAGTTTGACGTTTCAGTGTGATTATTGTAGTCTGTAATCAAATAATTCTAACTTTTTAGTGCTGTTAGACTCGAGAATACTACGATTATATCATATGAAAGCTCTATGTCGGACCGGGCACACCTGCACGATTTCTCAACATTTCAGTTCTCTTGCTTCTTTCCATTGCCTTCACTAACCACTCCGCGCCTTCTTTGATTCCCGTCCTGCAGTTATAAGAAAAACTTAAATGTTTATATCTCTTGTAAATGTAAGTGGAGTGAAAGATTTGTGCTGGCATCCAGGCAGGCAAATGGAGCTCAAACTTACCCATCAAAAGCGGAAACAGCCTCAAACATGTAAGCCCTTTCATCCAATTTCTTAAGATCGAGATATCGTGCGAGTTCTTCAGCTGTTACAGCTTCGGAGAGATCCTACATTAAAGTACAGATGTTAAAAGAATTCAAATGATTCGGAATAAAATCTTGACCACATTGTTTCATCCATTTTTCTACTCAACCAAGCACATCCCAAGATTCACATGAAACCAAATATTTCCGAGCCCAAAATGCCACGATACAGCATTAAATGTTGCAGAAGACGGCTATCGGATAGAGCAAAATCGCAACTGATAATTTGAGAAAATAAAAATAAAGATAAAAGAGACACAAAATTTATGTGGAAAACCCCTAAAATTATTAGGGTAAAAACCACTGGCAACGGTAGAAGAATTTCACTATGAGAAAATAGGAATTACAACCTCTCTCGATCTATCAAGGAGAAAACAATAATAATTCTCTCTTGATAAAAAGGAGAAAACAATTCTCAAGAAACTCTCTAAATTCTCTCTAGTATTGGAAGAAAGCTAGAATGCTTTGGGATGTTTTTGAAGCTAAATGAGCTAGAGTATTTATAGTTGAAGCTTTAAGGACTAATTTATAAATACCCTAAATTACAATGACTAATTGCATAGTTTTACCATCCAAATTTTCAACAATTTGGTGAACAAATTTGACCAATTTTGCCACCCCATTAATGCCACCAAATTGCCACCCATAATGTTGACAATTGATGCAATTTGGTGTGTCAATTTTCAACAATCTCCCACTTGAAGATTTGATTGGAACAATCATATCTTCACACCATTCTTTCTACCTTGTACCTTTCATGTTGCTTACGTTTCTGACAGGCTACAGGAGGATCGACACCAGGTAAATTTATCAGCATTGATTGCCTTCGTCATGAAATCTGCTATGTTGTCTTTGGTATGGATCTTCTGCATATCTACCGTTCCTTCTTCCACCTTTTTACGAATGAAATGGTACTGAACTCGTATGTGCTTAGTCCTTGACTGAAATGCTGGATTCCTTGCTAGATGCAAGGCGCTTTGACTATCACAAAACAGAGAGACATATTTTGATTGTGCCCAAGCTCCTCCAATAGCATCTTCAACCAAATTGCTTCTTTACTGGCTTGTGTAGCTGCTACATATTCTGCCTCTGTTGTAGACGTAGCCACAACTGACTGCAATTTGAAACCCAGCTTACAGCTCCACCAGCAACTTTGAACACATATCCTGTAGTAGATTTGCTTTTATCCAAATCCCTTGCATAGTCAGAATCTACATACTCATTGATTAGTAAGTTTGATCCTCCGTAACATAATGCAAACATTTGAGGTCCCTTTGATGTATCTTAGGATTCTCTTTACAATATTCCATGCTCTTTGCCTGAATTTGCCATGTACCGACTAACCACTCCCACTGCTTGTGCAATGTCTGGTCTTGTGCATATCATAGCGAACATTAAACTTCCCACTGCTGATGCATACGGTACTCGAGACATCTCCATCTCTCTTCTTCACTGCTAGGACTCATATTATAGGATAATTTGAAGTTAATAGGAAGAGGGGTAGAAATTGGCTTACAATCTTGCATGCTAAATCGTGACAAGATTTTCTCCAAGTAATTCTTTTGTGAAAGCCAAATCTTCCTATTACTTCTGTCTCGGTGAATTTGCATCCCTAGAATCTTTTTTGCTGATCCCAAGTCCTTCATTTCAAATTCCCTAGCAGTTGTGCCTTCAATTCTTCAATATGATCTTTGTGGGTCCTGCAACCAACATGTCATCCACATACAACAGCAATATAACAAAATCGTTATCACCAGACCTCTTGAAATAAGCACAAGGGTCTGCATTAAGTCTGTTGTATCCAAGGCACATAATGAAGGAATCAAATCTCTTATACCAACACTCGGCGCCTGCTTTAGACTGTACAGAGATTTGTTCACCTGCAAACCAAGTTCTTCTTTTCGTCTTCTTCAAACCTTCAGGCTGGAGCATATAAATCTCGTATTCAAGATTTCCATGAAGAAAAGTTGTTTTAACATCTAGCTATTCCAAATGTAAATTCAATGTAGCACACATTGCCAAGACTACTCGAACTGTTGTTAGTCGAACACAGTAGAAAAAATTTCATTGAAATCAATACCTTCTTTCTGAGCATATCCTTTGACCACCAGTCTTGCATGATACCTCTCCACTTGATCGTCACCATTTCGCTTGATTTTGAAAACCCATTTGTTACCAATTGGCTTCCTTCCTTGTGGTAGTGGCACAAGGTCCCATGTATTATTTTTATGAAGGGTTTCGATTTCTTCTTGCATCGCCATCATCCACAGTGAAGCATCTGAGCTGTTTATTACCTCCTGGTATGTTGATGGCTCACCGTCCTCTGTTAAAAGGAAGTATGCAATATTACCTTCTATAACATAATCTGAGTGTCAATTGGGACGTCTTCTCACACGATCTGATTGACGAGTTGTTGGAGCTTCAGAACTCTCTGGTTCTTGTTCATCATGTACTGGTTCTACTTCAGAAGAATCTCATTCTTCAAACTCTTTTTCCACATGTATCTGAGTAGTCTCTGACTTTTCAGCGCTATCATCGTATTCTTTCTTTGTAGTTTATCTTCTACAAAGATAACATCCCTGCTAATGATCACTTTGCGGGCAGTGGGATCCACAAGCGATACCCCTTTACTCCATCAGCATACCCAAGAATTTGCATTTCTGGATTTGGATCCAGCTTTGAAATTTCTTGGGCGTTGTACATCACATACACAATACTTCCAAATACATGGAGGTTTGAATAATCAACTGGTTTACCAGTCCACATCTCCATTGGTGTCTTCAGCTCTATTGCAGTTGATGGAGCTCGATTCACCAAATAACAGGCGGTATTGACTGCTTCTGCCAGAATGATTTTTCTAGGCCTGCGTCCCTCAACATTGCTCTTGTTCTTTCTAACAAGGTTCTGTTCATCCGCTCTGCCACTCCATTTTGTTGAGGAGTGTTCGCCACTGTGAACTGTCTTTTGATGACTTCTTTCTTGTAAAAGTCATCAAATCTTCGCTTGTGTATTCTCCTCCATTATCTATTCCGAAAACTTGATCTTATTTCCAGAATCAAGTTACACCCGCGCTTTGAAGTTTTTGAAAGTTGAAAACACGTCTGACTTCTTCTTAATAGGGTGCACCCAACATCTCCTGGAGTAGTCATCAATAAATGAGAAAAAGTATTTTGCTCCACCTAGGGACGTTACTGGTGCTTGCCATACGTCAGAGTGAACCAATTCTAGAACACTTTTGCCTCTAGAATTTGATGTGTTGAATTTCAACCAGTGCTGCTTACTTGTTATGCAATGCTCACACAAAGGAAGTGATACCTTTGTCAAGCCTGGAAGTAGCTTTTGCTACACAAGGACTTTCATTCCTTGTTCTGACATGTGTCCAAGTTTCTGATGCCATAGCATTGTCGAATCTGAATACATGAGGCAACAGAGGCATCTGCTTCTACCAAAGTCTCTCCCTTCAGCATGTACAAGTTTGCAGCTATTTTTTCGCCTTTCAGCACCACAAGCGCTCCACGGAACACCTTCATGATTCCTTTCCGTGTCTCAATCTTGCTTGCATTATTATCCAACAATTCGTAAGATAATATTTTTCTTCAGGCCTTTCACGTGCGTACATCTCGAACAACTTAATTGTTCCATCATACATCTTCAATTTGATGGTTCCCATGCCAATGATCTCTAAGGCATGATCATTGCAACTATACACAGATCCTCCTGAGACAGGTTCATAATGATGGAACCATTCTCTTCTTAAGGTCATGTGATATGTTGCTCCCGAATCAATGAGCCATATATCTGCAAATCATTCTTCCTTCCACGGTGGTTGACGCTTCACAGCATAGAGCATCTCCATCATCTGAAGTGTTTGCGGTATTGCCTTGTGGATTGGAGTTTTTATTTAGACTCCAACAATCCTTCTTCAAATGACCATTCTTTCCACAGTTGTAACACTTTAAATTCTTCTTGCTCTTCGACTTCGATTTACCATGTTTGTGACTGCTGCTTTGACCACGTTCTGTTGATCTCCCTCTCATCGTTGTCATCGTTGTCAACGTTTTGCTTGTTGCAGATTTACTTGTCTGTCTTCCTTGTTCTTGCGCGATTTTTCTTGTAGAACAGCAGCTGCAATATCATCAAAGACTAGACTAGTGACATTGTTGCACGAATCCGGTAGACTTTGAAGTAGAAGTTCAGCACGTTCTTGTTCCTATTTTACAGCTTAAGGATGTAAGCTGAGAAATAAGGTGTTCAGTGTATTTAAGTACTCCGCCACTGAAGTAGATTCTGGCATACGGAGAGTGTACAATTTCTCATAAGGAAAATTTTATTGTACAACGATGTGGCCTACATTTGGTGAGATTATCCCATATCTCTTTAGTTGTCTTCTTCTCCTCGATGCTTGACAATACTTCATCTGCTAATGTTAGATGAAAGTTGTCATAGCATTCCCGTCCATCTCGTTCCATTTGATGTCATCTGCGAAATCCACCGGCCTTTCATTGATAGCCGCTAGACACCGTCTTTCCTTAGGATGGCCTTATCTTCAATTTCCACAATGAGAAATTTCTCCCATTGAATTTTCAATATCAAATTTCGTTGCCATAACTCTTTTACGGATAGCTCCCACTATTTCACTATCGTGAATAGTTCTCTGGAACCTTCAAAGAATGAGTAATACTTCTTACTTTCTTATGTTGGAGGATCCACCTTTTGGTGGCAACCACAAAGACAATAGTTGATATTACACACTCAAATCTGGTTCGGATACCAATTGTTGCGGAAGACGGCTATCGGATAGAGCAAAATCGCAACTGATAATTTGAGAAAAAAAAATGAAGATAAAAGAGACACAAAATTTACGTTGAAAACCCCTAAAATTATTAGGGTAAAAAACCACGGGCAATGGTAGAAGAATTTCACTATGAGAAAATAGGAATTATAACCTCTCTCGATCTACCAAGGAGAAAACAATGATAATTCTTCTTGAAAAAGGAGAGAAAACAACTCTCAGAAACTCTCTAAATTCTTCTAGTATTGGAAGAAAGCTAGAATGCTTTGGGATGTTTTTGAAGCTAAATGAACTAGGGTATTTAGTTGAAGCTTTAAGGACTAATTTGTAAATACCCTAAATTACAATGACTAATTGCATAGTTTTACCATCCAAAATTTTCACAATTTGGTGGTCAAATTTGACCATTTTGCCACCCCATTAATGCCACCAAATTGCCACCCATAATGTTGACAATTGATGCAATTTGGTGTGCCAATTTTCAACATTAAATGCAGACATAATTATAGGAGTATAAAGAAACATATACGATAAAAACAAGGATTTTTCATAGAAGCTTTAAAGAGAAAATGAAAGAATTTCCATAGCAACTTTTGGCACAAATAGCTAGTATTTTGGCCATTTTCATAAGGACTATAGGTACCTGCTTGTTTGCTAATATCAAGAGAGGGGCTCCCTGCAGATCGTGTCTAAGAACTTTCTCTAGACAAAAGGGCAAAAATATGAGTAAACTCTCATATACGCCATCACAAAACTGTAGTCAATACCCTATACCAGAAGAAACCCAATGTTATTAAACAATTAGATATACTTACCAAGTGCATATTTTGAATCTTCGAAACGAGAAGGGCAGCAGCATCTTATGAATACCACAGCATGAACCTCTTCATAGTATTTCTCCCAGACTGAGCGAAGGCCAGGCTGGGAAAGATAAAGGAAGAGGAACTTCGTCACATACTGAGCTTGCTTTGGATATTGAATCATGCTTGAAAACATAAAAGAAAATGCCAAGCTTTGGCATCAAACACTGAACATACATTTCAATAAAAGTCGAGCAATGTGGTCTGAGAAGTTCTATTACATACATTGTAGCGGAACAAGTTATAGAATGAAAGATTTTGAATGGATGAAACTCAGACGTAGGCAAGTAGCATCATAAAAGCATGAGTTATATATGCATAATGCATAATAACAAGGATCGATCCCTTCCCTTAAAGAATCAACCCATTCCCTTAAAGGACGATCCTTTTATTACAATGTCAATTCCCTTAAAGGATCGATCCTTTTATTACAATTGTCAATTTTTTTTTAAAAAAAAGAATTGATCCCTTTCAACAAAGGGTTGATCCCTTGTGCATTAAATGTTTTGGTTGTAGGTAGCGACTATAATGATCTCCAACTGCTCCAAACGGCTAGAATTAATGGAGAATATATAAATTAAAGGTAAAAGCTTCCCAAGGTCATCAAGAATATTGAACCAATCCAACATCAAAGCTTAGTTTTGTGCTTAATTGTAAAATTCTTTGTTGTAAACACACTTGTGAGCTACATTGTTTATTTTGCTCAGATATGATTTGGGTGAGAGCTTAATTAGTGCAAACTTATTTGGCTTTGTGAGGTTTTTCTTTAGTTTGCTAAATTTGTAATTACTCTTTGGGAGAGAGTGTATTCAAATTTTTGGGGTATAAATCTTGAAGTGTTTGTAAGGTTACACCTTGTCCTTAAAGGTAAGCAAATCTAGTGGATTTGAGAACTCCTTAGTGTGGATGCTAAGGTAGTGGATGTAGACTTCGTTTAAAAGTCAAACCACTCTAAATCGTTGTGCAAAAGTTCTATTTTTTGATTGCTTCCACCAAACTTTTTAAAAAGTCAATTCACCCCTCTTAGCATCTTTGGTTGTTCGTACGAGCTCAACAACTGATAATTATTGTTTTAATTAGGGTAAACTACATTGGTAGTCCCCAACTTTCAGAGTACTTGTATTTCCGTCATCAAATTGTTAAAACTTATACTACAATCATTAAACTTTCAATTCACTTTAATTACAATAATTTGGCATGCTAATTGTAGGTTTTTTTTGTAATTTATATCATCCAATAAGATGGAGACATATACCATCATCTTATTCGTGAAAAATGATATAAATAAGAATGCACCTAGTGAGGATCAAACCATGAATATTGGGTTCTTAAGTTGCAATGTCTAACCCTCATATCTATGTTTTTCGACGTAATTTTTCAACTATATATGTTTATAGTTATAAGGGTCAAATTAATAAAAAAAATAAAATATAGAGACTAAAACATTAAAAAAATCAAATAAAAATAGTGTAGAAACTTCACCAAAATAAAACATATGACTAAATTTAAAGTTTTAAAATGAGATAGGCCTAAATAGGGTTGTTGAATAATTGGGCATTTTGTGCATTCTCATAAATTTAATCCGAATTAACTCTTGAGACCTATAAGGTCCATTTCCCCCTTAATCAAAGACTTTGTAGGGTAGCTATCTAAAAGTCATTAAGAATTGGGCAATTTGTCCACTCCCAAAAATTTAATCCCAAAATAACTAAGACATATGTTCCATTTCCCCCTTAATCAAAGACCGTGTATGTTAGGTATCACAAAGTCAATAAGATTGTATTAATATATCTAAGTTAATTACACCACACATCCCTGAATTATGACCATCATTCTAAATTAATCCTCAAATTCTTAAATCTTTTAATTTTATTCCCAAACTATAACACTTATTCTAAATTAGTCCCAAACTCTTGAACATTTTAATTTTATCATCAAATAATGTCACTCGTTTTAAATTGATCCATAAACTTTTGAATATTCTGATTTCATTTTCGGACGAAATGACATTCTTCGTAACATAATTAGCGTTATTATTAGAAAATTATTAACTTTTGATGTGAAAAAAATATAATACACATCGATATTGCATGATAATTAATAATTTTTATAATAGTTTATTAGTAGGGATACATTTTTTAAAATATTGGTGTTATATTCAAATGTCGATTAACTCAACAATAATATTAGAATGGTAAAAAAATTAGAGATCAATTTAAAATAAGAATCATAATTTAACAATATGATGTAATTAATTTAGGATTGAATTAGTGATAAATTATAGGAAAATATAAGGAAAAAAATAAGACACAATACATAATATAAATGAAAAAATAATTAAAATATGACCTAAAATAACATAAATATGAAACAATACAATATAATATCATGTTAATCTCTATAAATAAATTATTAACGTGTCAAAATTTTATACAATTTATTTATAATAGAAGGTTAATTAATATTCTAGTTAATTTTCAGTTTCATTGAACTTATAAGTGCATAAGTGTATGACGTGAGCTTGTTACCTCAGGCGTTAGTTGATCCATCTATTATCCACTCATTAGGTTATTGTCTATTTGTCTTATTTTGATTAATGAAGTTATGTTCACTAAATAAACCTAGTTTATTAGTATTTAATTTTCGTATCAATTTAGCCCTTAAAATTATTTAATTGTGTCTTTCTATACCATACTCTTAACTTAAAACCCTAAATTATAAACCCAAGTTATACTTTAGAGTTTATGGTTTAGATGTTATGGGGTTATGGTTTAGGGTTAAGATTTATAATTTAAGGTTTTAAGCTAGGTGTAGGGTATAGAATAATACAATCGAACAACTTCGAGGGTTAAATTGATGTAAATACAATAGGGACGAAAGTGATAAATTAGACCTATTACAAAGACAAAAGTTATCCCTTTGCCAATTATTTATTATTCAACCCAACAGACACACTGGTCTCGTAGTTAGGCTCTGGCCCATTAATCTGTCTATGGAAGAGAACATCTAAAACTCCCAAGGGAGCCGTAGTAACACAACAAGTAAACCACAGTTTCGAATTTCCAGGCCCAAGTTGTCCATATCACTCGGGCAAACTTAAAGGTCTGAAAACAGATGAAAATCACTTGAATAGACTCACCTCTTGCACGTGTGTGCATCACAGAGAGAAAAACAAAGAAACAAAAAGCATCACAATATCACAAGAAAGATGCATAAGCCACAACAAACATATATAATCTCCCCATCCATTTAAGGCGAACGAAACAGCCTGCGTGACACCTACTAAAAACTACCATTCAATACTACAGAGACATTGCCTTGTGAGAATTGAATTGAACTGACCAGAATTTAAACATCAAAATTCCCTAGCAGTAGCACTCTCCCCACTGCCCCACATCACAGTTTTTAATTAAATAAAGGTCTAATAACACTTTTGACCTTTAAACTTTTTTAAAAAAATCATTTCAGTCCTTAAACGTTTGTCTGAATCTTTGAACTTCTTTCTTTTTGTGAAATTATAAGACCACTTATTTTTTCTAATTAATTCAATTTGATAAAAAAATAGAAGTTTGAAGGCCAAAGAGATGAAAAAGTTAAGGACTAAAATAATTTTTTGAAAATTTGAGAGCCAAAATGTAATTAAACCTTTAACAAAAGTGTTGCATGTTCCTCCACAAAGGTGGATGACTGTCCGAGAGTGGTCCAACACTACTTATTACAAGGACGGCGAAATTCACCGTCCTCACTCAGTCCCTACACGCCATTTCATTGGCTGCGCATGAGGATAAGTTTTAAAACGATCTTTACACAGCAAACAGCTTTACAATTGTTGCATATTAAATAAAGGAGAAATTCAATCAGCATTTATCCATCGGTGTTTGCTTAGAAAACCTCGTTGGAAACCATGTGAGCACTGACACCTGACACTGGCTGCTATTAGCCACGAACCCAAAACTCCAAATTCTTATATTTGGGTTTAAGAATTGACTATTAGGCTGGGTTATCCTGCCAAACATACTAAAACTTTATCTAAATTTTCATTGGTCCCAAATTCTAAAATCCTCAAAATATCAATGTGGTACATAAACAATAGGCATTTGATTGGAACTCGTCGGGGTGAGTGTGAGTCAAGGCTTTTTAAGAATAATATTGGGTCGAGTTATGGGAAAAATACTCGAATCAAGAATAATAATATGATTCTTTTAATAGAATAATATAATTCACCTTTATATATTTGAAGATAATTGTTATAATATTTTCTATCTATATTTTTACCTTAAAATCATGCTATATTTCAAGTCAGGTGAACATTCCTAAACTCGAGTTGAATTAAACAATTAAATGAAAGGAATTGTACTCAATTCCAGTTTAAGTGATCAAAAATTCAACCTTACCCAACCCATAGTCATCCATAATTAAACTAATCAAGATTTTGTATATTAATCTAATCATCAATTTAATATTAAGTGTTTAACTTGAATATAATGTGAATTATATTAGAATATCATATAAAAATATTACATATGTGTGTATCTATTGAATTCTAATGATATTTGTGTATCTATTATATTGATATTTCAAAAATATCTTATTAAATTTTAATGATGAATTTATTAAGTAATTTCAATGATTAAGAAAATATTATTCTTTTAGGAGACTCTAAGTTCAAGTAACCATGTCTATAAAACTTATATACGTTATTAATGATGAAGAAAATTTAATATATAATATTTTTAATCTCTCATAATAGTAATAAGTTCTAATATGTTATCTTTTCTATTACATTAGTTCCAAACTAATTATATAACAAATATACATACTTAAATTTTAATAATATGTATTAAACACACTCCATGTATATCCGAACCGATATTTATTAAATCTCACAAGCTAAGGGTGGGTCAAGAGAGAGGTGATAGCACATGCACCAACGTGTTTCCACACATATTACAGGGCAAATTGGCGGGGATTTGACCTACACTAAAGCAGCCAATAATAAATGTTAAGGTCTTTCTAGCATAGCTGGAAGTAATGAAGCTCTCGTTAAATATGGGTCAGATTTGTGGAAGTTAAAGGGTCTCGGGCCATCGCTGTATCTCATCAAATAATTCATAAGGCAAACCATCATTACCATCATTATATACTTGAGTTCATTCCAAATCCAACTAAACATTGAAATTCCAGCAGAGGTGTTCAATCGGTTAAAACGATAACCGACTGAACTGAATTATCATTAATAGAATGAATCAACTTTTTTTTAACCGCTAACTGTATCAACTTTTTTTAAAAAAATATTAACCGAACCAAATAAAGTTAAGTTGTTTCGATCGGTTAACAGAATTAACCGAATTTTTTATAATTTTTAATTAAATTAATTTAAATATAATATAAATATTTTTTAATTTGGGTTAAAATTTAATTAGGTATTAATAATTTTATGAGTCTAGTGTTGTTAAAAAATAATTGAGTCTTAATTCTTAATGATTTTGAGCTTAAAATATGTATTTAATATATATAATATATTTAATAATTTCGGTTAATTAATCGATTTCAAACCAAATTAACTATTAACGAATATTGAAAAAAACATTAACCGTTTCACGACCAAACTAATTCGATGGTCGACTGAATTAATCAAACTATTCAATTCAATCGGTTAATTAAGTTAAAACTAAAAAATCAACGCCTTAAATCGTAATCTAATAAATTGTCAAATCAAGGGTTAAAATGTAATTTGCAATAATATTTTTATGATTATATATTTATACCTGCCCACCAACAGACCTTCGATAACTTTAAATTATGCGGAATCTAATATCATAATTTTATAATATTTAAAGTGCTTCCAATTTACGGGTAAATTACGCATTTAGTTCTTAAACTAGTAGTTTTAGCTCATTTAATATTTAAAGTTTCAATTTTTTCAAAATCATACCTAACATTTAGTTTTGCTTCATTTTAGTAACTGTCGTTAAAAACTTAATGCCTTTAGTACATAAACTATTAATTTTAGTCTGTTTAGTACCTAAAATTTCAATTTTTTCAAAATTTAATGTTAAATTTGAACATAATGCTAAAATAAAACAAAAACTAAAGTTTAGGTATGATTTAAAAAAATTGAAAGTTTAAATATTAAAATGGATCAAAAGAGATAGTTTAGGTACAAAACACATAATTTACTCTAATTATTTTTAGGAAATAATTTTAATTAACATATTATTGAGAATATTATATTATTATTCAATTCATTGATAATATATAAAATTACAACCATATACACAAACTAAAAATGATTTGAACATAATATTTCTATTAATTTTTTTATAAAATATTTTTATTAAATTTCATAAGAAACATTTCATTAATTGTACTCCTTTAAATATTATTTTAATCCCATTTCTGGGTTTTGATGCAACGGACACTACCAATTTCAAAATGCCCTATGCTTCCTGTAGTATAATACATCTTATATTCAATACTTTTAAAAACTAATAATTTTACACGAATCTAATGATCTTTGTGGTAAATAAATTATTATTATTCTTGAGGACCTGGTTCAAATACCATCGATATCAGATATATAAATGTTCAATATCAAAAGATTAAGGATTATCTTTAAATATATATTATCTTGACTTATCTCATATGAATAAATAATAATAATAATAATAATAATAATAATAATAATTCTTTCAAATCCACTTAATTTTCTCGATATTTAATAAAGCACGTTCTTCAACTATAAAAAGGAATAGGAAGATGCTTTAATGATATGATAAGTAACAACAAAGTGCTAACTCCTTACCAATTTTGCTTCGCTTTTCATTTGCTTTTTTTTTAGTTGTTTTCTTGTCATTATTACAAAAGAATAATATATTTACTATTAAATTTTGTATAATAAAATTTATTAATTAATGGCTTAATATCAAACAAGTGCTCAAACTATATGTTTTTCTCAAATAGGTGCTTAATCTATTTTTTAACTCATTCAGGTACTTAACGTTTCAAACGTTACTTATTTAGGTATTCCGGCCGTTAATGGCATTAATTTCCCCAGTGAAGTGTGTCACAATATGGTGATTTAAAAATTTATTTTTTGAAAAAATATTAAAAATATTATTCTATTTATAAAAAAAACCTAATTTCTCTTAAATTATAAAATAACCCCAAAATCCTCAATACTAACCTTAACCTACCATTGTCATCCATTTTTACCACTACCACCGCCACTAATGTAATATCTGTCATCCTCCTAGTCATACGCCATTGTATTTGTCGTCGATTAACCGTCAAAATAACATGGGATGGCAATTTTCAACCTAGGGTTTGTGGAGTATAAAACGTCTATTCTTCGTCAATCAGTCACGATTTCATAAGGTTTTAGTTGTCTGGGGAGGGGAGGTTAGGTGGAGCTTCATCGACGACAAAGGGTAGCGGTCGACGTAAGTTTAGGGGTTGAAATGAAGGTTTTCAAAATTTGGGTTTATTTCAAAATTGTGTTTTCTTTTTTTTAAAACATATATAGTTTTAATTTTTTTAATTTTAAATAAAATTTTTAAATTTATCAGATTGCTACAAATGCCACTTAACGAGGAAATTAACACCGTTGACGTTCCTTGCTGCAAACAAAGAAAAATACTTTCCAAGCCCGAAGCTTTATCACTTAGAATTATGGTAGATCTCTTTTGATTAATAAAATTATAAAGAAGCTTCTTTATTTGCTCTGTAATGCACTACGTTTTAGTTTGACTCTAGTCATTCCATTTGACATTTCTTAACACCTGCATCTCCAATTTCCTCAACCAAACTAAAGGAATCCAACACTTCACTACCCTTTTTCTAGTTTTCAAAGCTGTGGATTAACTAAGTTTGTCATTCAGAATCCCAATGCATTGAGTGGGATTAACGGCAAACATTCAGCAGAGAAACTTAAGCATTTAAACTACCGAAACATGTTTAAGTCATGGAGGAGCGACAAGAAGAAGATCAAAGTTGTATTCCAGTTGCAGTTTCAGGCAACTCAGGATATGCATGACTATTAAAGAATTTAGAGTTACGAGTTTTGGAAAGATCTACCTGATTCGCCCGCTTGTTTTCTTCCAGGTGCCGAAGTTAAAAAGTCGGGGGTGACGATAGCGTTGGTGCCGGAGGATGTGGGGAAGCCGACGCTGAGATTAGAGAAAGTTTCTGTTCAAGATGGGAGTTGTTTGTGGGAGAATCCTGTTTATGAAACTGTGAAAATGATAAGGAGATGAAAACAGGGAAATTGAGTGAAAAAATTTACCATTTCGTTGTTTCGAATGTATGCATATTCAGAAATTTGCTAAGCCTTTGTTCCTCCATTGCTTTCAGTGTCCACTGGTGACTGGTTTTTGCTGAATTTTTGTTCTGGGTTGTTGCAGGGATCTTCAAAAGCAGGGTTTCTTGGTGAAGCTTCGATCGATTTTGCTGATTTTGCAGCTGAAACTGAACCTGTTACAATCTCCCTGCCCCTTAAGTTTGCCAACTCCGGTGCCATTCTACATGTTAGTTTCTCTCTCATTGTCACCCCTAAAAAAAACTTCTGTTGATTTCAAAATCTAATATTGGCATCACTGTAACTTGGTTTTGAAATTCATGGTGATCCATAGGTGACGATTCTAAAATTGAGGGAGCAGAAGATCAGAGGTGATACAAGCATTAATAATCCATATCTAGTCATTCACTATTTCTATTTGCCTATATGTAATTCAACTTTTGATATCAGATATATTCAAGATGTGGAGATTTGACCATTTCCAGGGAGGGAAGCCTGCACAGCCAAGGCATGAATTACAGTGACAATCTCCAAAATTCAACAGAGGTAAGTTCGAGGTCCCCACTTGTATAGTTTAGCATGAATGATTTGGTTAAAGCAACCCTGAAATTACTACCTGGACAGATGGCTGTTTTATGCAAGCTTACAACTAAATTGTTCTTAATTTTACACAGGATGGGGGCTTGGACACTGCCGCATTATTTTCACCTCTACGGAAAAACTCGATGCCCAGAGCAGCTGATACTGCATGAATAAAAAGAACTTGCATCGGAGAACAAACACGGATTGGTCGGGCAGTTCAACTTCAGATGGAAGTTTAGCTGAGCTAGCTAATAGCCAGAAGACATCCCAAGAGAATGGCACAAGGGATCAGGAGATCCTGTCGAGAACTCAGAAGTGAAAATGCTATGTTATCGAGGCAGGTAGAAGTATCGGAATTAGAGCTGCAGTCTCTTAGGAAACAGATTTTGAAGGAGAACAATCGGACCCAGGATCTGTCGAGACAAATTAGCGGCCTCAAAGAAGAAAGAGATGCAGTGAAGATGGAGTTTGAACGGCTCAAGTCAAAGAAAAATATGGATGAGGAAGTAAGTGAGAGTGGATCAGAAGATGAGAATGAGGGTCAAGGATCTGCTAAAAGAAATAGGCAGGAGCTCGAGCACGAGAAGGAGTTGAATGCAAATCTCCGTTTGCAGCTGCGGAAGACAGAGGACTCAAATTCTAATCTGATTCTTGCAGTGAGAGACCTCAATGAAATGCTAGAGCAAAAGAACAGGGAAATAGCTCGCCTCTCCAGCCAGATTGAAGCAAGTATGAGTGACGAAGAGGCACGTTCGAATGAAAAACATGATGCTGATGAAATGCACATTCTGAAGCAGACAATCACAGACCTGAATGCGGAGTTGGAGTTATACAAGAAACATAAGGAGGAATTAGAGATGCATATAGAAGAACTGAGCCAGGAAAATGACAAAATGTTCTCACAGTTAAAGCAAAACCAGCAACAAGAAGCAATGAAGACAGAAAATGAGAACTCAGAATATTTGGCTACCATAAATGAACTTGAATCTCAAGTGCAAAGACTAGAGGATAAAATCAAGCAGCAATCTGAAGACTACTCTGAGTCTTTAATCGCCATTAATGAACTTGAAGGTCAAGTAAAGGAATTAAGCAAAGAACTGGAGAACCGGACACAAGGGTTCAAAAAAGAACTTGATGCGATGATACACTCCAAAACTGAGCAGGAACAGAGGTCTAACAGAGCAGAGGAGGCCTTAAAAACAACAAGGTGGAAAAATGCTGCTAATGCCGAGCGGCTTCAGGAAGAATTTAAAAAACTCTCAGTTGAAATGGCTGGTAGGTTTGATGAGAATGAAAAGACGACCATGAAAGCAGTTGCAGAAGCGAATGACCTGGAGGTACTAAAAAGAAATCTCGAAGAAATGCTCCAAGAAGCCAATGAAGAGCTCAGGCTACTTAAAGATCAGACTGCGACCGAACGAGAAGACTTTGTACCAACTGGATCTCAGAGAAAAACAAATAGCAGAAATGTCAAGGGAACTTGATGATAAGACTGCACAACTTGAATATGCGCAAAAGCAAGAGAAAGGAAGGCAGGAGGCTTTCTCAAAAGAAATTCAAATTCTCAAGACCGAGATCGAGAAGCTCGAAGAGCAGAGAAGCCAATTTTCTGATCAGGCCAAGCAAAGTGATGAAACCAAAAAGTGAAGACGTCAAATGAAAAAACTGAGATGCTGATACAAAGATGGAATAAGAAAGAGATGAATTGGAGAAAAAAATCGCTTCAGCAAAGAAGGAAACAGAGAAAGCACAGAAGCAATTAATTAGTACAAGGTCTTTGAAGGATAAAAAGGAGATGGTGATCTCAAATTTGCAGTCAGAAATGGAGAATATTAAGGGGAATGTAATGACTTGAAACATAGATTGCTCCGAGAAGAAAGGGAGAAAGAAAAACTGAGAAAACAGGTATCTCAATTAAAGAATGGCCTACAAAGAAGGAAGAAGAAGTCAGCTATACAGAAAGAACTCAAAAGTACCAGTGGTCAAATGGACATCACTGCAAGGAGTGGCCACTCTGCCGTGGCACCTCAAGAGTCCAAAGATATCTAGTTTGCAGGAAAAAATGAGGTTACTTAAGGTAGCTATTCTAATAGAAGGATTAGAGACTAAAATAGTGTAATTATGCATGGAAAGATTATATATATACGTCATATTTAACAAACATCAATGGTCGAAGAAAACTGCGTTGGTATATAATATCCTTTATCTAACCATGAGAGTTTACATTCTACGTTTCATCCCATCAGTACATCCTACACGATATAAAAACTTTTGCTTCGTTCATCAATAGCAAAGATTAATAATTGGATAATCTTTGGCAGGAACAGATAAACCTCATGGAAGCTGCATTGAAATCATCAACAAATTCAGCTCCAGAGAAGGGAAGTAACCTCAGCAATGATTGAAGAGCTAGAAAGCGTCATGGAACAACTCAAAATATGCCATTGTTCTTCTGCAGATCAGTGTCAAAAGGTTTTGAGGATTACAATTACGAAAATACTTTGGATAATATCGTTTTGTGATTTGTAATGCAAGTAGACAGTGATATGTTAGTTTCATGAAACAATCATAGATATAGTATTGCAGAGATTAGTAACACAGTTCTATAAACACAGAATGACCTTCTTAGTAAGCAGTAATGATACATAAGAAATATAGTCATACATATAGGTTGTCACATCAAAACTATATTTATCAATGCATTAATGAGACAGAAGTTGCTTTAATTCTAGACCTTCGCAATTGAAGTTTGATAAAGGTTACTTATTGTTAATAAAGGTCACTTGTATCATAGTTTTAATGGGACAGAAATTGCTTTAGTTCTAGACTGTTACCAGTGTCAAGATTAGCAATGTTGAAAAATACAGGAACAAGGAAAGTTGCGAGACAAGCTCCATTCGAAGATGACCACTGCTGAAGGCAAGTGTTCCTCGACAATAGTGGTACCAGTTGAAAGGTATGGCTATTTGTCTCAAGAATTAAAGCTAATTATTAACCAATATCTTTACTGTGGATGGAGTTCTTTGACTGATCATTTATGTTTCCTGCCTATGAAAACAACAGTGATGCTAATATTGCTGAATTGCTAAGTGAAATGGAAGGTCTTAAGGAAAGGAATAAATCTATGGAGCGTGAGCTAAAGACATGGAAGACAGATATTCAGAAATAAGCCTCAAATTTGCAGAAGTGGAAGGTGAACGACAGCAACTTGTAATGACAGTGAGAAACCTTAAGAATGGCAAGAAGAACTAGCATGTTCAAAGGCGCGGTATGGTATGTTGGACAAAGAACACTAAGCAGGGTGAAGCAGCTGATCCTCTAAAAGGAATACGTGTGGTGTTAAATCGAAGTCCAATCAAGAATCTTTATCATATGAACTTGTGAAATAGGATTCATCCATCTGTTGCTCATCTATCCTGTTAGGAACACTAAAAATTAGATTCAACCAAGTTGATCGAAGCTCAAGCGGTAAGTTTGGATATTGAGGTTTTAAATTTTAGATACCTAGAGACCTGATAGAAATATAGGAACTGATTTCTGCCTCCTTCATTTTTCTGAATAAATTAAATCTAGAATTAATTTGTGGAAACAGCACTAATAAGTCAAGCATGTCTTTTCCCCCAGTCCTGGTACTTTTCTTCAAGCTAACAACTAATTTCAAGATGGAGCTTTTCTATTTCATTGGGTGAATTTTAATCTTAATATCAAAGATAAAATTAAAACAAAAAAATAATCATCCCAACTAACAAACAAGCGCACATCACACCTGACATCATTAATGTTAAATCAATAGATGCTTATGTATCATATCACATCTGCCGTAGGCCAGGCCTATTCACATACAGCTGAGGGGTTGCTGATAAGCATTTTGAAGATTCAATCATGGAGTTGTCTGATAAGCATTTTTATAAAAATAATTGCCTATGGGTTTACTCATTCAAATAATGGCCATCATATATTCGTGGCATACGGAATGTGCTATTTGCAGCTTACCATTGAGCCGTTTGCGTACATTCTTGAAAAATGTGTCACAACTGCACCAAGTTCATTGAATATTTAAAGAACGCTCATTAAACAAGTATTTAAATAAGATTGCTTATCTCTCTTAAAGCTACTTTCTGCCAGAAAATGAAATGCTGCGGTATAATGTTCAAGACCAACCTGCTAATTCCAGAAACGGATCTACCCCCTTTTGTTTCAATCATGATCACTAATAGCGAAGCTTTTTGCTCAAACCATGTGCCCCTCCTTCACTCCAACCAGCTTAGTTTGGCTTCCACTTCCATTTATTTCAAAAGATAAAGTCTAGAGGAGAAAAGTTGACGGTTTCAATTGCACAATATGCAGTTGTATCAATAGTACACGTCAAATGATACAAAGGTAGTTTCAAACCTGTCTTGCTCTCTTATCAGTGGGTCGATGTTTGAACAGGGAGGATGAATTCTCTTTGTTCTTAGATGATATGGTTGCTTGCGGACCTCTTTTCTGCTTCCTTTGTTCTAGTATTTCCTAGGAGTGTTACCTCCTTGGTATTGAAAATTCAAGAATTGAAGGATTTCTTCTCTGCGGAGCTTTTGCTATATTTCCTATCTCCCAAAGGATGAAGCAGATGTATCAGAGAAAGATTCTGCTGACGTAATCTGCTCTTCTCCCTGACTCTGTTAAGAAATTCTATCGTCCAAGGTGAACCTTGTTGTGGATTTTGAAAGAAGGCCTTTTAGAGTGAGTTGCACTATGATTTGATGCGTCATTTTTTAGCAAATCTTTGCAAGCTGCAGATCGAGCTACAACATCCCGTATGGGTTTTCTTGGTTGCTGGGACCTTTATCTGGATTACATTAGTTCCTACGAAACTTTGTCTAGGACATGTTACAGAACTCAACTATCTGAACCAGCTTTGATCTCCGAAACATATGGGAAAACAGTGTGACTGCCTTTGGAAAATGACAACCTTCTAGCAAATTCGGACTTTCTAGTAGAATCCTTCTCTATCTCTGACACCAAAGAGGAGAAAGGACTAGAGTTACCAAGCAAGAGAAACCCTCACCAGACATTGGACGGTCAACATGTCAGAAACTTCACCTAGAAGTTCTTCATGCCGATTTTCAAAGTCATTAATGTTTTTCCAGTCCAAACTATTCAGCATAGCCATATTTTCTCCCAGATTGCAACCCCATGTATTATCTTTCAAGGATTCACTGAGTTTGGGCCTCTTTGCCTCTTTTAACATCTTAGGACCTTCATAGATGTGAGAATCATATTGCTCAAAATCTTGAGGGGGGAAATCATATTCCTGCTTTTGATCAAATATATCATTTAAAGATGAACCGGCCTTTTGTACTCCTGGGACATCTCAGAACCTGTAGACATCCACGAGTCACATGACTTCGACAATCCAGAAGGATGCAGGAAATCTTCTTTGCATTGGTTCAAAGGCTCAAAATGCAGGGTTTCATCCATAATTGTGCTGATTTTATCAGGGCTATTTATGCGTTTGCCTTGTTTCCTTTAGAACCAACATTATAATGACAATTGTCTAAGTTAGGAACAGAAGATACAGAAGAAGAGCAGTCTGTCATTACAGATTTTGGGTCCTCCGCTCACCGTACTTGCACAAAGCACTGAAAAGAGCAATACTCTCGTCTGGTACACCGTAGCTTTGAACCGCATGAATCCTGCGTTCATGTGACCACTCAAGGAAGTCAATGAGCATTCCCCCTGAAGAGAGTATTGCATGAGCCGTCAAAGGATTAACTGAGGGAAATCTAGTGAGGAATGATTCCGCAAGAGTTTCTGAATCAGACATCTTAGGATACAAGCCTCTGGTCATCTTAGCAGCATAGTCAATGCAGTTCAGTATTATTTCATCAGTTGTTTCAGATGAATAAGAGCAAAATAGCTGGAAGTCAATCCCCAAACTTGCTGCTGCTGCATAGAGTCCAGCTGAGGATTCCATTACAGTAGAAAGGAAGCCATTGTCTCCCTCGAAGACCTTGAACAGAATGTAACATACTAGTAATTCAAATTTCAAAGAACAATAGTGTAAAGTTTAAAATAGTTCACAATTTCCATCTTTACCGGAGCGACATGTCCCATACAGAATTAACAAAGTTGCCCACCCTATGGTCCATTTAATTTTCAACCTTGGCCATAAGAAAGTCCATGCTTAAAGTGAACAATCAAGAACATCAACTATAACTACTTTTAATCAGCTGAGTTTTTACCCAGCCGACAAAAGACGGCTACAGATGTGAATAAGCGGCACCAAGTTGAAATTTTTACTTTTGAAGTTGTTTTTGTATGTCACTGATTACTTTGAAAATCTCTTATATCAAGGCGACGTAAGAAATGACTAGAAGCAAATTAAAAAAAATTCGCTAGAAGAACAATAAACCTACCCAAAATTATTGATGGAAAGAAAGGTACTAGCAAGCATAAACTTAGGTTTATCTGTTTCTAAGTATATCAAGATCCCAGAAACAAAAACTGGCGTTTATCTTCTTGAAACTTGTGCACTCTCTTATTCTGAGTTGTGAAGACATGAAAGTCAAAGTTCAAAAACCGATTTAAGTTGTGGAAATTACCAGGAAACAGCCGCTGAAAGCAAAACTCAGCAACGTTAAAATATTAGTTGCAATATTCTCGATGCACAATTGTAAGCACGAAGATGCTTCATCCAAAGTGGCAGTTTTTCTTCCGATGTTTCTGCAATCATACCATACCAAGCAAATTGCAGAGCTAATTATGATATCCACAGGAAGATTTGAATCACGTTCAACTACTTGAATTCCTTCTTTCTCCATTGCAAGAATATTTTGATATGTACTTCTTCTGGATACAATCATTTCCTTATCAAAGTTTTGCATGTTCACAATAATTACCATGTCCGCCATTCTCTGCAAAGTTAGCTCGGTGTCAACTGCAACTGGCTGAGGCATACACTGTACTTCTTTATCCCCACTTTTGACAGACCCCTTATTATGTTTGTCTTCAATTGGTACAAAGTTCAGTAGGTCCTCCAACTTCTCATAATTCACATTGTCGGGGCCCAAGATTGAACAAAACTCCCCTTCCTAAACATTAGAAGCATCATCAGAGTATGTCTGTAATTACCGCTTTGATATGATGATCAATACAATTACATGAAGAGTTCACAACATGAGAGAGGCAGCTAATTCCACAATGAAATACTTTTGCTTGTAAGTTTTAGAACTTATCCCTTACATCAGTCCCATTCCAATTATGTGATGTAGATAAGGAATTTGTAATTGTTTCGTTCTTATGGAGTGAAAAGGATATCTACTTCAATAGTCAAGCACCTCTATGGCAAATCTTCTATGCATTCCAATCCGTCCTAATGAAATTTCTCAGCTTCACATACTCAAGCAACATGCTTAAATTCACAGTCTATACTCCAGGGGGTGGGGTGGAGGATTCAATCTTTTACATGCAGTATTTTGTTCCTATTGTTCACTCTAACCAGATATTTCAACTTTGACGCAGAATTGATATTTCCATCTGTTTATATGAATCAATATCTTTTGGACTCGGTATTACTAAAGTTAAACATTGGCCTTTTAGTCCTAATTTTATTCAATTTTGTTACACAAAACGTGAGTCCTTGAATAAAACTAAAATAACAAAAATAGTACTAGATGCAAGCATTTGGTTCAGTAGTTGGTTCATGATCCCTACAGAAAAGGGCAGATTTTAATCTCCCCTTCCCTAATTCAAAAATTACAGGAATAGAAGCAACTAGCAATTGAAGTTAATCTCTTACAAACACATGAAGTAAAGATATCATCAATTAATAGATTAACATTAAGGAAGAAGCGACTTACCATCAACTTCTTTTTAGTCTGGGGAAGATCAACCCCTTCACAGAGTGCTTTGGAAGAACTAGAGGCATCCAGTTCAATCTTCAGAAAGTGAAGATGAGTCGAGCCAACTAACTTGGGGGTAAAAGAAGATACTCTAGAGCCACAAAAGCCTCCATATTCCACGATAAGGTTGAACTTGTTGAATGGAAAATATGCAGAAACATTCCTTGAAGAGAAAGAAAGAAATATCACATATAGCTTCATAACTCCGCAGAACAAGCATACTCTTAAGTATCAGGAGATGGGCCCACCCAATTCAGAGTCCTATCTTTCGTTTCCCATAATGTGCATGTGTTGCATTCTTAATCCCTGATTTAGGCTTCTAAAGTTGGATAAATTGCCAAAATATCCCACATGCTTTTGCTATTAAAAATAATGCAATTA